CTATAAAATTTAAAATTCGTATATCCAGACATGAAAACTTAGATCTAACTTGCTGAGTTTACAGTTTAGAATAAAAGTGGTATTTTAATAGCCTTAGCCAAAAACTAGATCTTTTCATATATAGTAGTTCTACTGACAGAAGTCCACATATTATTATTTTTTAAAAAAATTATTTGTATAATTCTATTGTTCAAAATTGAGCTTCCTGCAAATGAACTGGAAAGAAAACCAACCTAAGTCACAGCTCATTTCCACAGCTTCCTTTGGACTGGGGGTTGCTCTTGGATAATACACTGCAAAATTTCCTTTTAGCGCTTGGAATTATCAGAGGAGATCTCAGAAAAGATGCATGGGGAAGAATTGAAGCTGTTTGGCTTGGCTCTTAGAAGTGAAGGGATGGCACTGTTTACCAAAGCAGCTTTGAGCCGTTGTTAAAGGACTCCAAAAATCTGCATAGCCCTGTTGTGTAAGACAGTTGCTACATACGCAAGGAAGGCTATGTATTACCTTCAGTTTTAATTTTGTCAAAAGGTCTAAACAACATGACCTTGGATGGTCTTTAGCCAACCAGAATGCCCTCTACAAATGTGGACCGATTCTCTGAAACCTCAGCAGTACCTACTGCAGCCAAACCTTCTCTAAGCTGATGTCCATGCATCTGGAGAACATAAAAGGGGAGGCTGCTGAAACCTCTCTCGGAGTAGGATTCCCTACCCCATTTCTTTTCTAGGCTCTTTTAATTAAAAGAAAAAAACCCAAATGGGAAGCTGCAATGCTTCAAAGGGTCAATTTCTGAATCATCTTTATTTGTTCTATTGACATCCTTAGAAAATACAACTTGTAAGTGGTTGCAGCTCTGGGCTTTATTTGGAATGGGTGGTAAGCAGCCTCTTGATGGCCAGAAGGAAAGGAATATTTCTGCTGATAAAATGGATGTAACAGACTCTTAATGACTATGCAAGCCTTTTTATGAGCATTTTAGGAATGTGCCTCTAATTTGCTCTCAGAGTTTCAAATGTGCCCATTTCTGGTTTACATCTTGCCTTTCAAGCAAGGGGCTTGAAGAAGGTAGACCTGCTCTCTTTCATAAACTGATCTTCACCCAGATTTGCTTAGCTTTTGCAACATCGCTTGAGAGTCACATCAGCTCTCTGGTGAATTGTCAGAAGTATCCTTCCTCCTCCTTTATTTAATAGTCACATGCTGCACTACAGCTAAGAAAGTGAGGATGAAAATATAAATTGCATGGGAGCAATTTTCCAATGTATCACCTGGAAGCTGGTAATATGTGGCAGAACTATATGCATTGCAATGGGTTGATAACTAAAAAAAAAAAAAAAGTAGAAAGTTAAAGTGAAGGGAGTGTTCCAGTCTCTGAATTCTACACTGAGCTTCCAGAATTCAAAAAACTATGATTTTCAGTCAGTCCCCAGTGTCAGGCCAACTGTCAGTCATTCTCATAATGAGCTGTGACCAATGGACAAGAAATCAAGATTGGGGGAAGGGGGAGGGGTTTAAAAAATCAAATGTGAATTACTGGTATGCCATTCATGGCAAGAAAGATATCCCTCACCTCTCAGAAAACAATTAGATAAAGAATGAGTTTTTTCTGTACCTGGAATATTAAGAGACAACTTTGCAAAAGAAAGTAGGAAAAGAGGAAATTTCATTTAGATCCCTACAGGAAGGTAGGCACATGACTAGAAATACAGCAATTAAAAGTGTTTCTCAATCTTGACAAATTTAAGCTGGGTGGATTTCCAAAATTCCCCAGACAGCAAGCTAGCTGGGGAATTCTGGATCTCCACAAAGCTTAAAGTTGCTAAGGTTGAGAAACTCCAAGACTGATATATGCAATAATTTGTGCATTTTCTAACTTGTGTATCATGCCACCATGTTTAATTATGTCTTTTAATGAAAAGAAGGACTAGAGGTGACATGATAGCAGTGTTCCAATATCTCAGGGGCTGCCACAAAGAAGAGGGAGTCAAGCTATTCTCCAAAGCATCTGAGGGTAAGACAAGAAGCAGCGGGTGGAAACTAAGCCAGGAGAGAAGCAACCTAGAACTAAGGTGGAATTTCCTGATAGAGCAATTAATTAGTGGAAGAACTTGCCTCCAGAAGCTGTAAATCAGGAGTGGGATTCAAAATTTTTAACAACTGGTTCTGTGGGCATGGCTTAGGTGGTGGACATGGCTTGGTGGTCATGTTATTGGCTGGGTGTGGCCAACTCAACATCACTCACATCGAGGCACGCATCTCCTCCCCTGGCCTCTCATGACTGTGGGGATGCTGCAATAGTCGTAAGTGTGAAAAATGGTCCTAAGTCACTTTTTTCAGTGCCATTGTAACTTTCAATGGTCACTCCACACAAACAAAGTACCAGCAAAGGAGGGGAAAAGAAACTCCAGAGATATTCCAGAGACAGGAAGTCTACTCCTGCCAAGAATGTAATAAGGGTTAATGGAGAGGCAGTTTCTGTAAGCAACACCAGAATGGTTCCTTCCTGCCTTCCTTACAGGATTAGACCAGTAATTTCTTCTAACAACTGGTTCTCCAAACTGCTTAGAATGTTAACAACCGGTTCTAGCAAATAGGTGTGAACTGGTAGAATCCCACCCCTGCTGTAAATGCTTCAACAAATGCTTGGAAGTTTTTAAGAAGAGATTGGACAACTATTTGTCTGAAATGGTATAGGCAGAGGAGGGCTTTGGGGATTCGCAGGGGTTCAGGAGATCCTCTAGCTAAGATTCTGCACAGTTCGGAGAATCTCCAAATCCCATACCTGGCCCACCCCACCCCGCCCCTTCCAGGAGTCCCCACATGGCCTTTTTTTTTTGGATGCAGGTAAGTTAGTGGTGGGATTCAAAAATTTTTACTACAGGTTCTGTGGGTGTGGCAGGGGAAGGATACTGTAAAATCTCCAGTCAGAGGTGGTATTTGCCAGTTCTCTGAACTACTCAAAATTTGTGCTATCAGTTCTCCAGAACTGGTCAGAACCTGCTGAAATACCACCTCTGAGGAAGTGCAGGGCGCACACAGAGGCTTGGAGAGGGTGAAAAACGGGCCTCCGGAAGCTCAGGAATGTTGGAAATGAGCCATTTTTGTCTTACAGAGAGCCTCCGGAGCCCAGGGAGGGCAAAAACACCTCCCCCTGCAATGGTGCAGTAGGCTGACTAGGCCATGACCACCATGGCCACACCCACCCAGCAACCAGGCAGAGAACAAATTGCTAAAAGTTTTAAAGCCCACCCTGGGTATGGGGTTTCCTGCCTAAACAGGGGGTTGGACTAGAAGACCTCCAAGGTCCCTTCCGAATCTGTTTATTCTATTCCCATTCCATTCTATAGCAGGGAGATGCAGCCCTTTTTACTCCTAATGTCAGTCCATTAGGTTTTCTCCAAAAGGGAAGCTTTAACTTCTCTGCCCTCTCCTTGTAAGGTGACTAATACAGTCAAAAAGATGCAACCCTGCTTTCCTTGCATTATTGTAGGAGGTGCCGTAATTTCATTGACACTAATCCTAGTAATATAGCTGAATTCTGCCCTCCAAGATAGAAACAGAACTCCCAACATTCAGAATTGCAACTCCCTCACTCTGCTCATTTCTACCATGAACTTACATCAGCAAAGAATTGTCCTGAAAATGTGTCCTCTGATATACGAGCCAATGCCTTCCATCCAATCTATTACATTCCTGAAAATTCCTTGAAGAAACGCCTGCGCCTTCTGGTTCTCCAGATGTTGCTGGATTACAAGCCATTCGCAACCTTCAACCGGTTCCCAAAGCTGAGGAATGTTGAGAATTATGCTTCAGCGGTACTCAGAAGCCTGTAATCATCATCATGCTACAGCTATTAAGTAACTTTCAAGTTGATTTAAATTCAACCATTTCATGCATGACATTTTAATGGACCAATGATTAAAGAAAATGAGCTGTCTCTGGAATACAGCAGTGCTTCTCAACCCTCAGCCACTTGTAGATGTGTGGACTTCAACTCCCAGAATTCCCTAGCCAGCAATGCTGGCTGGGGAATTCTGGGAGTTGAAATCCACACATTTTCAAATGGCCGAGATTGAGAAACACTGGAACACAACATCTCTTAACAAGAAGTGGGTGGAAGATATCCTAAAGATTTATATGTAGTTTTTCATGCAAGATGCAACGTAAGCCAAACCATGTTTCAAACATCTTTATGGGTCTCCAAACCTGTCCCTTCTTCTCAACTGAATCTTTTTCTGAGCTGCAAAAATTGGGACTATCATTAGAGGATAGGAAAGAGCTAAGGTGTGTTGATTTCTGCAAGCCAGATCCGCTGCCCTAAAATCTTCTAAGCTTTATTAATCCAGACTAGTATTGTCCATTTGCAATCATATCATCTTTATTAATCCACAATCATAATAAAAATTACCAAACTTCCTGAGACTTCATGGAAGATTTGTTGAATCTCTTACTTGTCCTCCTGCTGCCCTCTACTGTTAGCCAAGTGAAGCAGCTCTCCATTTCTTAACAAGTAGCCACAGCATAGCCGACTTTTCCAAAAAGAGCTCCACAGCAGGCATCATGGTTGTTGCACTGCTTGGCTGGATTATGGGGGAGATCCAATTCCTATTCAGAAAGCATTCATTTTGCTATGCACCGTATAGAGGTGTAGCTGCGCTATTATTTCGTGATTAAAGGGATTTCAGCATCTTAAATGAAAGGGCCTTCTAAATGTTTGTGTGCAGATTTGTGTGTGTGCACACAGCCCCATCAGTATATACACACTTCACATGTTTATGAAAGACTGATTTATGAAAACAAGAAGCCCCAGTTCCAATTATTATTCATAATAAATGTTGCTGGTGATGATGAAATTACTGAGCAAAGAATTCAAAAGAGGGTTTGTCTTCTTTCTTTTACCTCCAAGAGATGGAAATAAAGAATCGCAGACATCTTTTAAATAAGAAATGTTTTAAATTTATATATACATATAAAAAGAAACAGAAGGTCATGAAAAACAAAAAATTGCCGCCTTTACATGATCACACATTGGGACAGCTCCCCATACTCAATAACGTAGGCTGGGTAAATCTGGTGCTTCTCAAAGATGACAAAAATAGAAGGATTCAGAACATCGTCCACGCAACTGTCATAGAAGCTGTTTGATTGGTTATCTCTAGGAGGAGGGCGGACATAAGAAGCTTTTCCTTGGACATAGTCTCCAATCAGGACTCTAGCTACAAACATGGTCTTTGCATGTCTCTTCGACTTGCAGTATGCGTGCGAGTAGCAGGCATCTCTGGCAAAATAGCTTCCTGCAAGAAAACACATTTTAAAAAACCAAACCTTTTGCAAAGGAAAAAAAAGAGGAAAAAAAATCTCCTTCCAAAATAAATTTACTATATATTGTTCAAGGTTTTGAATATTACTAAAACTACAACTCCCAATATCCCTTTGGCTAGGACTGCTGGATATTCAGACTCAGCAACACTAGAGGTTCCCAGTTTCCCATAATAACACATTCGCCCATGTTTCTGATGGCTCCTTTTACTTCCAGGGTTCAAAAGTAAGACCTCTGCTTATGTAGTCCAAGTAGCACAATCTTCACACAATAGGGATGTATCAGTATCAGAGAGACAGTCTGAGTATGCATATATGGAAAATGATTAGGTGGCACACTGAACCAAAGCATTTAAAACTGCAACTATATGTCTCGCACATGATACTACAATTTGCCAAGTAACTGAAAATCAGTGTGGTTGTGTAGTGGTTAAGGACTTGGACAGCAGAGGCCCAAGCTCACACTTCCACTGGACTAAGAGGTTTATTTCAGACATTTAGGTCCAGCCACTGTTTCTGTTGAACAGGGTTATTGTGGGAATAAAATTAGGGGAGGCTTCCCACATATGCAGGTTTGAGCTCTCAAATAAAAGTCAGGATATAAATGCATACATTTGAGGAAATTGGTAGAAAAACAATACTTAAAGATGCTGAAACTCAGATATCTTCAAATCTTGCAAATTATGTGAATTCTAACTATCAAGGTAGGGAATATTTAGTTCTTCCAGAATAGCAATAGCACTTAAACTTATATACCACTTTACAATGCTTTACAGTCCTTTCTAAGCGGTTTACAGCATATTGCCCCCAACAATCTGGGTCCTCATTTTACTGACCTCAGAAGGATGGAAGGCTGAGTCAACCTTGGGCCTGGTGAAATTTGAACTGCCAAATTGTAGGCAACCGGCAGTCAGCAGAAGTAGCCTGCAGTACTGCACTCTAACCACTGTGCCACCATTGTGGCTCATCTAGAATGCATTAGTTCTTCCCAACTCTCCAGTACCTTTTCCATATAGTGTTCCATGCGTGCCACAAATTCTCCAATCAAAGTTTTGCCCACAGATGTCATACAGGTGAGATGTGCTAGTGCCATGAAACAAGAGCCGTTCTTCAATTTCCTTTCCTTTATTCAACTTCTTCATCTGCTCTTTTTGCCTAGAAACAAACTATTTCAAGTAATGCTTGAGTTCAAAAAGAATTTAAATCACTTCTCTCTTCCAACTTGGAAGACTTACTGCCAAAGGATCTAAGAACAGTCAATAAACATATTTATTAAACTAAATTTATTAATTTATTACCCCCATTTAATGTAGCTTTCCCAAACAAAGTACTAAATTAATTTTTCCCAGATCTATTAGGCTAGGCTATCATTCAGTAGCAATGGATATGATGAATGATGTAATTCAATCTCTAGCATAATCGGAGCTGTGCTAGAATTCTGCAGAGCTGTGGTAAGGCAACAATGATCTAAATCTAAATGGGACTAGATCAAAGAAATCAGATTAGAAAAGTCTGGCTTCAATGACATCCAAGGTCCCTTCCTACTTTTTGCTTGTAGGCCACAGCCTATTCACAACCAGACAGATATGGTATATGATCACAAAAAAATAAACTCACAACAGTACTAATACTTAATAGAGAACACATAAGATAAGTTCCAGATACGGTACTGGATCCAATTATTATACCATGATTTTGATTCCCCAAGGAAGAAAATTAAAATCCAATACAAACCACTGAAAGACTTGCCAGAGAGAAGGATTCTGAATTCTTTGAAGTCTATGTATAATACAATCTTCCATTGTCTTCTCAAAAAGCATCTTGATTTCATGATACTCTTCTGAAGAAACAGAGACCTCTACCAACTAGGAACAAGATCAGAGCTATTGTGAATGAATCTTTTAGTTGCTTTTGATCTTTCTATATTTGACCCTTTCAGGTCAGAATGGGGACTCATAACATAACCTATGTAGATCAAATACATTAAGAGCAGAATAAGTTTCTTAAAAAATAATTATAGTTGGGTTTAGACATTGGACTAAGTAGCTGTAACCTATTTTTCACAATGTGTGAACTTAACCACTGTACTTTATAAACCATGGCCTCGCCATATACATACAAAATGCCTTAATCACAGTACATCATTGTTCCATTTACTATGACTCTAATACCTCTAATAAATTATCCAACCTTACCGTTAAGCATTACATATAGAGAAGATCATGCTAAATGACCACCAATAGAAACAAGCCATGGCTTAGCATGAGGCATGAATAAATAACTTACTGTAAATCAGCCTTTGGTCTAAACCAACCTTTGACCTTCAGGTATTGATTTCGGCTCTTAACATACCCAAATGTGAGGGATTTTAGAAATCATTCAGCAATACTTCAGTACTCAAGATTGCTTTTAATGCTGCTGTATACCCTGTTTGATAGAGTCTTCTGTACAGCTTTTACCATGAAAATTTAAATAGAATATGGCCAAGGGACATGATGGTGTAATCCCAGTAAAACTGTTCACATATCATTATTTGCCAGAGAGCTATTTCACATTTAATTCTGTCTGATGTTCACAAAAAAACAGAAGTATCTTTCAAACCACCAAAAAGCTAATTTCAGAAGAAATGGTGGACTATTTCAAATTACGTGGCTTTTATACGACATAGGCCAGAGGGTGTCATCTCTATGCATTTACAGGGCACAGGGAATAGCAATAGCATTTAGGCTTATATACTGTGGGAATAACTCTGACTCCAGTATTTAGTAATGATTAATCTAAGACCTTACACATACATGTCTGCCTAAAGGTCACCTAGATAAAACAAGGAAATTAAAAGCAAACACCAGAAACAATTAAGCAGCTCAGACAATTATGTGTATTGTGTTTAATTATTGAAATCCACAATGTGAATGCTTACTATGTGTAAAATTCTCAATAAAATGGGATGCCAGAAATTGCTCTGGACTCTCATCCCGAGTTCACTCGCTTGTGTCTCATCCTTTCCATGGGAGTCCACCACAATATACTATCCCATAGCACTTTATAGCATTCTCTGAGCAGTTTACAATGAAGAAGCGTTATTTGCATATTGCCTCTAACAATTGGGAACCTCATTTTATTGACCTCAGAAGGATGGAAGGCTGAATCAACCTTGAGTCCCATCAGGATCAAACTCCAAGCTATGGGCAGAGTTTGCCTGCAATACTGCACTTTAACCACTGTGCCACCAGGAAACTTATGAACCAACTATACCACCAAACAGTATTTTTATTAGCTAATGTTTTCCCCCTAGAAATGATGTAAAGAACGACTTCTGCCAACATTACAGCAATGGTTAAATGGCCAGGAGCAAAACAGAGGTTGTTGCAATGTACAGATAAAATAGAATACCTTATAGCCTATGTTAGGAAGGGCTGACTGATCCCAGGTTGAAGGAAACAAGTGGAAAGGAAAAGAAGATTCAAAACGGCAGCTGCAAATGGGAAATAAAGAAACAAAGAGCATTAGAGTGGTAGACAAATCTCATTTAATTTCCAATTTTCTCCTTCAGACCTCAGCAAATCTTCTCAATTCAGTAATCTTCCCAGGTTTTTGGCTAAAATATTCATTGTGGCTGGAAATGATGGCAACTATCATCTAACTCAGTGGCCCCCAACCTTTTGGGCATCAGGGACTGGTTCCATGGACAGAGGTTTTTCTGCAGACCGGAGGGGCCATGGTTTTGTGTGCTACCTGCATTCCGCGGATGGGGCTTCCCTTGTTTGCACACACAGTTTCCGACATGCCACAGCCTGGTGCCAGTCCATGGACTGGGGGTTGGAGACCTCTGGTCTATCTCTGAAGGGTAGCAGGTCAAGAAAAACTCTGTTAGTTCTCAAACTAATTTTTCCAACCGTATTTGCCCTTTTCCAGAGTGGTGCAGTGGCATAGAAGTGGAGCTCTCGCCTCACATTCAAGAGGCGGTGAGTTCGATCCTAGTGTTGTGGTTCACCAGCAGCCAGTGCAGACTGCACTGGAATCAGACAGTGGGGAAGAAAGGGGACCAGTCAGGGAGTCCGAGAGTCCTGCGTCTGATGCAGAGACGGGGCCAGGACCATCTGGGAGTGGGGTGCTAGTCTTCTTCTTCTTCTTCTTTTTCTTCAGCGTTTGTCTCGCGCTCTGGCGAGGTCCGCTAATGTCCTTGAGTACTGCTTCCACGCCTCTCTATCTGCCACGTATGTCGGGTCTGCCTTCGCGATCTCTAGATCGGCCTTGATCGTGTCCATCCAGCGTTGCTTAGGTCTACCACGCGGTCTCGCTCCTCCGACAATCACCTTCATCGTAGATTTGATGATGGATTCTTCCTTGGCGCGACTCACATGGCCGAACCATCGTAGGGAGTGGGGTGCTAGTGTCTCAGTGAAATTACTGAAGTGGCAGAGCTGACACTGGGAGAAGGGGGAGGGATCAAAATTTGGATGCTTGGCAATGGATTCATATTCATGACGGTTACAGATCCCAGGGCCATGATCACCTTTTTTGACCTTCTGACAAGGAATATCAGTTGAGAAGTCAGATTCACTTTACAATCATGTTCCTAACTTAACTGCAGTGATTCACATAACAGCTGTGGCAAGAAAGGTTGCAAAATGGGGCAAAAGTTAACTCACTTAATAACTGCCTCAGTTACCAACAGAAATTTTGGACTCAGTTGTGGTTGTAAGTTGAGGACTACCTGTAAATGATTTTGTGGAAAATACTAATTACCTCTTGTCGCTTTTGCGTCTACCTCCGAAAAATACAAGTCGGGGCCACCTGCAGACTCTCCTCTGTGTTTGGTAGTACACATTTCTCTGAACCATCTCTTGAGTGAAACAGCAAAACACACTGTCAAATAACTCACCTATACCAAGAATTAATTCACTTATCAATTTAATTTAAACACAAGGCATTGTAGGCTCCTACTCTTTTTTTTTTTTTAAAACAAGTTTTATTAATTTTTAAAACACACAAATTATCATTATTCATTACATGTTTAAACCTTTTTTCATTGTCAATTTAACAAGTCAGATAAATTATAATTCTGTTTTAAACCATTTCCATACAACATACCAAAACCTCTTATTCAATTTCTCTTTACTTCTCTTTACTCTTATTCAATATCATTATTATTATTTCATCTGTTTCTTTCTGACTTAGTTACCATTATTCTCATTCTATATTTCTACAATTTTTAACTAATTCTCCCCCCCAAAAAGACATATACACACAACACACAAAACATAAAAAAAATATTTTTGGAAAGTAACTTGGACCCAGGTGTCTCTCTCTTCATGGACTTCAATTATATTCATGCTCATCTTACATATCATTACTTATTTTATTTACCATTCTAAGCCTTCTATATTAACTTCCCCACATATTTCACACTTCTTACTTCTATCTTAATTAATCATCTTAATTTGAATCATTATATTTATATCTTTTGTCCATTTTTTATCATCCCTTTGTCTCATTCCTTATAAAAAAAAGAAAATAAGTTTCTCCTGAAATCATTAATCAGAGTATGATGCCTTTCTATCTCCCCCCTAAGTTAATCAAATTAATCTTTAAAATAATATCTAATACCCAATCCGATTTTGCTTGGTACATTCTATCTAACTAATACATCCAACATAATTAAGTACATAATTAGACAATAAATCCAAATATTAAAAAAAGATACTATAATAAAAATTTTATAATAACATCAATACCATAGTCTTATTAAACTCTTTAATTAAAACAATATTCTAAACCTCCCCTATTATTAAGTTTTAAAGCCAATCATTTTTAAACATTTTAACATTTTAATCTCTTATCAACTCTTAAATCATTACAATACTACCATCTCATCTTATGTACCTTGCAAAATCTTTTTTTTAAAAAAAAATTATACTTTATCCATTGTCCATAAAAAATTTCTTTTTTTCATTTAATTTCAAAACATTGTAGCTTTTCTCCACCTTTTCCCTTTCTTTCTTCTCCCAACAAACCTTTCTACCCCCCCTTCTTCTAGCCTCTGCCTTACCAGCTTCCCTTCTTTGTCGTATTCCTTTTCCCTTTTGTTTACTATCATCATATTGGTTTTGCACCTTATTTTTCCCTTTCTTAAATGTTTTTTTAGATCTTAAGTCCTTAAGTCCTTTAATTTTCTTCTTTTCTCTTCTTTTCTCTTCTTTCTCTCTTCCTTCTTTCTGGATCAAGTTCTGAGATTCATTAAAAATGGCTCCTTTCTTTCTTTCTTGTTCCTCTGCTGTCTTCATCTGTTGTAATGTTTGTTGATAATTAATAAGCGCCATTTCTAAGAAAAGGAAAGCTTCTTCCACACCATCTTTACCATTTTTTTTTGCTTGTTCATATTCTTTTCTTAGTTCCTCAACAGAAAGAGCCATTATAAATCTTTTCTTTTCTTTTCCCCTTCTTTCTTCTTACAACAACCAGAATATTCAAAAGAAAATAAAAAAAATAAAACAGTCCCAAAGTTATCAGTCAGTCCAAACCAAGGCAGAGTTCTCACTTTCTCCTTCTGGGGTAGTATCAATCCAAGAGAAAGAAAGTCCAAATCTGTTTAAAATCTTATTGCAATATATTCTAGTCTTCAAATCCTTAAGGCATCTGCTCCAACAAAGTCTTAGCATACAAATGTTTTCTTTTTAATCCTCTCTCTTCCCACTCATCGCTTAAAACCAATTTTCTCCTAAAAGAAATAGGTTTCTTAATATCCAGTTATTTATTCCGTAGGAAAAGAGGGAAAGCTATCCTTTCAGCACCTTCAAACAGCCGCTTTTTTCCTCTTCTGGCAGGTATTATTCAGAAAGACATACTTTTCAGGAATTTTATTAAATATGTCTTAGAGTCCTAGGAGCCAAGAAAAACTTTCTCCTCTCAATCACTTTCTCCACTTCCTCCTGCGCATTCTTACCCGGCTGCCAGCTCCTTTGTGGCGGCCATTACGGACCGCCGCTACACCGTCCTGGGAAAAGGGAGTTCTGCCGGCCAGGGAGGGAGTCTGCAACACCCCCAAACCCTTCTCCGGATCCCCCCTACCTTCAGCTGCCCCTGCAGGGCAGCCTAGCTCCGTACCCGTCTGGGTCGGAGCCCCAAAAACGGCTAGCGCGGCAGGGATCGCGCAGCTTCGCAAATCCCTGCCGCTCGCGAAGCCGACAAACCGGAAGTCCTGTAGGCTCCTACTCTTGAGCTGCTGTTGTTGATAAAGCTTTGTGGACTATGCAGAAAAGAGTTCTTTATATACAACTGGAGGACTATATTTGATGCACTTGGCTAGATTTACATCCATTTATCAATATAATAGAGGGAAGCCCTTATATTTGGAAATCAAAAACTTCCAAAGAACACCCAAGAGGAACACACACTTTTGCTTCCTAAAAAATACTGTGCTGTTCCACAACCGGCAGTGTCAGATTAGTAACATTTAAAAATAAAAGTAAGATGCCAGTATTTCAGTCAGATCAATCTCATGGCAATTTAATCTTACTAAAATATTATCAAGAAGAGACAAATTATACCCCAAGGACTCTGGATGAACAAAATATTTAATGATTAAATTTGTTAAATTAATGATCTATCAAGAAAATGCCTATTACTGGCAACAGTAGATATTTGTTCAGATTTTTTTTAAAAAAAAAACCACAGTATTACTCAATAATCTTAAATAGCAATTGTTTAGCCTTCTTGCATTTTTTTTCACTTGACAGTTTGAATAAATTAGGCTAATAATACTCATGTTAGCAACAAGGATGGCTGCAGGGGTGTGTTTTAAAAAAATCAAGATGGTAGCCTCTATCCCTAAAATAAAAAAAAGCCTTCATCCTATGAGTTGTAGCCGCCATCTTGATGTCTTTGATATACATTCACATGGGCATCCCAGATAGCACCCATTGTCACATACCAAGCTATTATTGCTAAAAGTTACCTTGAAAATTCAATGTATATAACTGAGTCCCAGCCTGGAAGAACACAGCTCCTCTGCAGTCAGTTAGGAAAATAGTCTCTAATTCAGAGGATGATATTGAGGCCGCACAGTGCTTAGAGTTCTGCAAAATAGAAAGAAAAAAAATATGGTAGGAAAACAGAGACCGAAGGGAAAGAGAGGGAAATGAGTAATTTAACTCTGATCATTGTGTTCAAACACTTTGGAGAGCAAAACACAAAACAGGATGTTACATTACAGTAGTCCTTGTTTATCAAATCTCTCGGTTATGATGATGATGAAAAAGTAATTTTACAAGCAATGCTCACATTTTCAATTTTTCTAGGTCTATAAATCAAAGAAAAGCTGAAGTAAGATCACAAGCACAGTTGTGGCTTCTCTTAGAGGTCAATTCACTTAACAACTGAGTTTCTGGTCCCAATTCTGATTGCTAAACAAGGACTATCTATCCGTACAGGTTGTCCTTGACTTATGACAATTGAGCCCAAAATTTCTATTGCTGAGTGAGACAGTTGTTAAGTGCATTTCGCCCCTTTTACCACCTTTCTTGCCATGGTTGTTAAGTGAATCATTGCAGCTGTTAAATTAGTAGCAGGGTTTTTAAGTGAATCTGGCTCCCCTATTGACTTTGCTTGTCACGAGGTTGTAAAAGGTGATTACATGACCCTTAATGTTACAACCGTCATAAATATGAGTCAGTTGACAAGTCTCTGAATGTTGATTGTGTGACCATCAAGATGTTGCAATGGTCATAAGTGTGAAAAATGATCACAAGTAACTTTTTTCAGTGCAGTTGTAACTTTGAATGGTCACTAAATGAACTGTTGTAAGTCAAGGTCCACCTGTATTTAGCTCTACCATCCATCCTCTAAAACAGGGACAAGCAATATTCAAGATATTATGGGCCCAGGTTCTGCTCTGTAGCGATAGCTAGAGCAGGAGAAAATGATCGTGTTCAATTATCATATTCAGCAATGGTTTGCTTTATCGTGATTTAATAAGCTGAGCTTGTAAATATTAACAGCTGAGCTCACAGTGTCTCAAGTCACAAAGGCCAAACTGTGCAGCACACTAAGCCAAAGACAAACAAATTGCTTTACATTATAATTGATTGCAGTGTGTGAACCCAGCTAATAAATCTGTGTAGCAAAATTCAAGCTGTTTACAGCAGCAACGACAACATCCCAGGACTGATTCAGCAGCAGATAAAAGTTTACCTGTTGGCCATACTCAATCCACTTGCCATTTTCATCCAGCCAATACCAGATAAACTCTACTCTGACAATGGAGTCAAACAGCATGACCATTGACATTCGCTAGGAGAGTCAGATATGAATTCTGACATCAAGCATCTTCTGAAAAAAATCAAATCATGCATGTCAGCAAGGACATAAAAACAAAGGAGGAAAAATCAATTAATTCACATTTTACTCTGAGACAAAGAGGTAGAACATTCAATATCCTCCGGTTAGGTTCTTCTGTATGGTTGTAGTACATCTACTAGCAGTGGCTCGTTTTGTATTCATAACAAAAACTGGAACCTACAAATTGGATGCACATGACTTGGGAGATACCACTGCTCTTAAAACAGAGTAACGAAGTTGAAGGGACCTTGGAGGCCTTTCTAGTCCAACCCTTTGCTCAAACAGGGAATTCTATACCATTTCATTCCAACCTCTTCTTAGAAACCTCCAGTGTTGGAGCACCTGCAACTTCTGGAAGCAACTCTCTTGATGTTTTAAAAATCAATTGCTTAAAACAGATTGCTTTTTAAATGTTGCTTAAAGATGGCTAATATCTTTTTTCAATCTATGTCCTAACCTGTAAAGGAAATCCAGGAAAATATGTATGTCTTATTTAACCAAGTTAAACTTTTGTCTTCGATGTAAGAGATTCCATACTTTGCCCCTTTCTTAAATAGCCTTGAATTTCCATCAAGTTTTGCTTACACAGAACCATCTCATACAGTAAATGAACAGAATATTCAGCATTAATACCAATAGCATTTAGAATTATATATCACTTCACAGTGCTTTACAGTCCTCTCTATAAGCAGTTTACAAATGTCAGTATATTTCCTCCAACAATCTGGCTCTTCATTTTACCAATCTTGGAAGGATGGAAGGCTGAGTCAGAACTGGTTAGAATCAAACTCCTGGAGTGAGCAATGAGTTAGTCTGCAATACTGCGTTCAAACCACTGTGCTACCACCGTTCTTTAATATAACTGTAATGTTTGTTCCTTCTTTTTTTTATGCCAAGGCTGCAAATTGATATGTGCCATCAAGTTGTGGTCTCCAGGATGAGTTGCAAAATATTGAGGTCTGTGTGGGCTGGAAGAGACCAACCATGTAAAAAGAGAAAGTAATTGCAGATATGGACACCACATTTAACAACAACATTGCAGCCTAGAATGATATTCAAAGTAAAGCCATGTCATCAGACTACAACTCAGTGTGTTATGCAAACCCAGAAAATGAAGTTATTGTGAATTTAGGTAATCATGGGTTAGCACATCCTATAATCAAAGTCCTCACACAAAAAATCACTACTCAAAAAGGGGAAAAAATTTTTAGGAAGTGCAGTATATTTTTGCCAATTCACAATTTCAGAGCAAAGGCAATTTTCTACGTTAGACTTTGTTGTAGACCCTATTGACAGGCAATAAATGTTTCAATAGGATATTGTAGGGCAGGGGTGGGCAAACTTTTTGGCTCGGGGGCCGCACTAACTTTTAAAATTTGACAGACGGGCCGGGTCAGCACAAGATTTTTTGGGAATCGCCCCCCCACCCTTTCCCCCCCTCTTCTCCTCCTTCCCCTCCCCTCGGAGGCCCCCTGAGTCAGGAGTTGCTACCGCCGGCGCAGCTCTGCGCGGCTCCAGTCCTGCGTTGCCTCGGGAAGGGAAAGGCAAAAAGGAAGAGCCGCGGCGGTGCTTTGCAACGGCAGCAGCGGCACCGGAGGCTCAGGCTCAGCGGCTCCTGGTTTTGCCTTTTCCTTCCCAAGGCAACGCGGGACTGGAGCCGCGCGGAGCTGCGCTGGCGGTAGCAACTCCTGACAGCCCCAGCCGGACACCTGAGCGGAGCCCGGGCGGAACTGCCTGTTGCTGCTGCCGGAGCACCGCCGGGTCGCCTCCAAGCAGCCCGCCCGCCCGCCGGGCTTCCCCTCCGCCGCGCAGCTCGGGGCCAGGCACGAGCGCCCGCGAGGAAAAAGGAAGACGCAAGTTGCTGGGAAGTTGCTCGGGTGCTGGGAGCAGGCTTTTAAAGTGCCGCCCGAGCAGGACCGCCAAGCCGGGAAATGGGGCACCAAGGCAGGGCAAGGCTCCACCAGCAGCGGCCTAGCTTTAGGTGGCTCCAAGCAGCCCGCTCCAAGCAGCCCGCTCCAAGCAGCCCGCCCGCCCGCCGGGCGGAACCCTTCCTGCTCCTCGGCCGGAAGACGCTCCCACCTGCAAACTTTGCCTTTGCAAAGTTTAAGCCTGGAAGCCCCGGGAAAAAAAGGGGGATCGGCGGGGACTCACCTTCGGAGAGGTCGCACTCGAAGGTGATTTCAAACTCCCAGCCGAGGCCTTTGCAAAGTTCTTCTTTTCTTTCCTACCCCGAGAGCGCTCCGCACTGTTTTGCAGCTTTGGGGGCCACGCGGCGCAGGGCAATACGCCACGCCCAGCGATTTTTTTTCAGGGGCGGGCCGGATTGGACAGACCAACGGGCCGGATGTGGCCCACGGGCCGTAGTTTGCCCACCCCTGTTGTAGGGCATGTCAAATTTTTCAATTTTCAATTTCCAAACATTAGGGGTGCTACAAGTTGTAACATGCCATGGGGATTGTAAAAATATTTTGGTTACTTTAATAGAATTTAGATGTGCTTGGTAAGTAACTACATAAATATCATCACTTTTTCACATTTTGTTTCATTTTATATAGGGAATGAAGGTGAATTTAAATAAGTCAAAGAAAGAAAGAAAGTAGCATCCCATACATTTTTAAGGCCTCTGATTCTAAGTTCAAGAAATAGTTACAAAGTTCAGACTACAATCTATGAAATGGCATATGTATAACCAAGTTATCAAGTTACTCAACCAACAGCAATGGTGGCACAGTGGTTAGAATGCAGTACTGCAGGCTTTTTTTGCTGACTGCCGCTGTCTGCAATTTGGCAGTTCAAATCTCATTAGGCTCAAGGTTGACTCAGCCATCCATCCTTCTCAGATAGATAAAATGAGAACTCAGATTGTTGGGGCAATATGTTGACTCTGTAAACCACTTAGAGAGGGTTTGTAAAGCACTGTGAAGTAGTATATAAGTCTAAGTGCTATTGCTATTACCTGAGGAATTGTCTTCTCGTACCCACCCAGTCAGACAGGGAGGATATGTTGTGGATACCATTACTCAAAGAATTTGGACTTGTAGGATCCAGGTGAAAACCTTCTCTGCTATTGTCCCTGTCCTGTAGAACAGTGGTCTCCAACCTTGGCAACTTTAAGACTTGTGGACTTCAACTCCCAGAATTCTGTAAGTCTTAAAGTTGCCAAGGTTGGAGACCCCTGCTGTGAACATCTTACCCTCAGAGATGAGACAGGTCCCCACACTTCTGGCCTTCAGAAAGAGTGCTAAGACCTGATTTTGCCAATTAGCATGTATGTCAAAGAGTGATATGAAAGCTTGGGCGGCATGATGAGCTTCTCTCAACCTTTTAAACATTTTAATCCTTTAACTTTAAATATCTTAACTGACTTTGTTTTAACTTGTTCTTATTTATGCTTTTATATTATACATTTTTACTGTAAACTCTTAGACTTCAGGGGTCTTCAAACCTGACAGCTTTAAGACTTGTGGACTTCAACTCCCAGAATTCCTCCTCCAGTCATGTTAGCTCAGGTATTCTGGGAGTTGAAGTCCACAAGTCTTAAACTTGCCAAGTTTGAAGACCCTTGTCTTAGGTGAAATGAGCTGTGTAGAAATGTGATGAATAAATAATGGTAACCATTTCCCCACCAGGTTGTCTTGCTAACTATATGACTTGCAATGTTACCTGAGGAAGAACAGAGAAGCAAACTCTGTGTTTGGCTGTCAACTTCCTTCCTCTAGGAATGGCCTCCCATCATGACTCATAAAAGAAAAATAGCAACATCGGGTTAACCAGTAGAACCATCCATTGATGACTTCATCAGTCATTGCATGATGTCCACTTTAATCCCAAATCTCATGCCAACGTACCAACTAGCACTGCCAACGCCATGTTTGTTCCTGGCTTAGCACATTTATATTCCATTAAGTCATTGGATTTCCATCCTGCCTTCCCTCAAGAGCTTAAATTCTAGTCATCCCCCAGAACATCTCCTCTGTAAGGTAGGTTGGGCTCAGACAGTACAATAGGTCCAAAGTCACAGAGTCAGTTTCAATGGCTGAAAGTGCATTTGAACCAGGGATTCAATTTTTTTTTTACTACCGGTTCTGTGGGCGTGGCTTGGTGGGCATGGCAGGGGAAGGATACTGTAAAGTCTCCAGTCAGAGGTGGGATTTGCCGGTTCTCCGAACTACTCAAAATTTCTGCTACCGGTTCCCCAGAACTGCTGAATATCACCTCTGATTTGAACCTCCATCTTCCTGGTGCCAGTCTAGGTTTAACTGTAAAATGGATTGTGAATCTAGCTAGCCTTACATTAAAAATTGTTAAGTATCCATCCCTTATGCAGGGCCGATCTCTTCCATTTTCTCCAGTTTTCCTGAAGAAAAAAATCCTACTCAGGCTCAGATGAGTCATATCCTGAGTAGCAAAAGATTTGAGGAATGCAGTCAGGGAAATTATCTATAGCAGAAGTGGATCTGAGGAGAATAGAAAAGTTGCAAAGCAAAGCACTTGCTTTCAAAAGGCCTCCATTTTACATATTAATATCTAGGGTAACACTGAAAATACTACTAAGCTGTCAGAAATTTCATAGTATCCAAATCAAAGCTTCTTGGATAGGATTCAGCTAGATAAAGTCATGGATGATAGCACTAGGCACCTTCCTAAATTCATATACAGAAGCAAACCTGGGAACCTGATCATGCATTACTTCCTTTTGGATATAAGAACCAAATTCAATGACCACATATCTATATTTATCTCTATATTGCAAGAGTCACTGGGCATCTCCCTATTATGAACCTTGTAACATGCTTGACTGAGTTATTGAGTCTGCTGAATATCATAAACCATAAACTGAACAAATGCCCTGGATTCACACAACATGTTAAACTATCTCACACTAGCCAGCATGTGGCATACATTCAGCCACTAGGTTTGTATCTGACCTAACTTAAACATGTTTGTGT